AAGCTAGCCCTAAGGTACTTAAGCTGGTACAGACTTTTATCATCTCGTCTAGTTAACTAGACGAGTTCGAGCATTTCTCAATTATTGATTTTAACGAGCCTAGTTAAATTTGAAAAAAGAAATCACTATTAAGCCTCGATAATCTGAGCTCGGTTCGTTAATTAAACAAGTAAACAAACGAGTTCAGTTCGGTTCATTAACTAATCGAGCTCATGAATTCGACTAGTTTGTCAGTATTAACGGGTCAGAATTTGAATATTAACGAGCTGGACAAATGCATAAATCTAAAAAGTTCTATTACGAATAAACTCGAACTTATATGACTATGTTTGGTAGACAAATAAGCTAGATTATAGCTTATAAACTCCATGTATTCAAATAAGCCTTGTTTAGTAGGACGAACTTTTCTAAAAAACTCGAGAATATTTGATAAATTTCTTTAGGTAACTTTTCAAATAAGCTAGTTGAATTTTTTATTCCAACTAACTTTTCAGCTAATTTTACCAACCACTTTATATAAGTTAACTTTTCATCTATAAGCTATAAGCTCAAAAATTAATGATAAACTATAAATTAGCCTATTAACTATCAGATAGTTTTACCAAACATAGTCATGAGCGCGTTCGTTTGGTTTGTAAGCTTTTTTGAAATGTGGACTTTAGGCTTATGAATAGGCATGTAAAAGGACATTTTGACCCGACCCGAACATCAACCCGAAATGGTAATTGGATGTCAGTTTTAATCGTCAATTGAAAAAATAGAAACTTACTTTCAAAACTTCATCATTTGGGCCATTAACATAAAATCCAATGTACATATCTTTCTGCAGCCCAATGTTTTGTGACAAATTTGGATGAATATTACAGGCCCACCCTAAAGAACATACTGACATATTATATTAATATAATAATTGTATAGCAATAGGGTTACATTTTGGCTCACTTATTCCTCATCAGTCATCCCTGACCATTCCACTACAGTGACTATTCTTTCCATTTTATTCTCTCTCTCACACACACATTTCTCTGAAGTCTGAAGAACTATCAATTTCTGGTAAATAGAAAAATTCAGAGGTAATGTTTAAGGTAAGATTTACTTTACAAATGAAGAATATTTTCGAATTTCTGCTACGATCTTTGTTGAAACTATTATTTATTTTTAAATTTTTAATTTAATTTTTTATCGCAATAATTTTAATTGTTAAAATGAACAATACATGCAAATGTATATAATTTATTTTTAATATTATAATTTTTACAAAACCAAATTGAGCTGCTGCAATGTTCTGTTACTGAAAACAATGTCAGTATTTGAGAAAATGGATACAGATCTACCTTCGCTTGCTTAGAAAACATTTTTCAGCTCTGATGCTTAAATCTCTATATTATTATGTCTCTGAATGTTATTTGCATATGTTTGTGTTCAAATACGTATAGATCTATTAATATTATGTTAAAAAGGAATGAAGTTTTACATTTGCTTGCTTAGATCTAATTTTTTAATGATACATAATTAATTTGTTTATTACATTTATTTTTACTTGAATATGTTTGTAATTTACTTTCACTATAATTGTAACTTTTTTACCGATGCATATCTAATTGCTTGTTAGATTTAATGATTTTTACTCTAATATGTTGTAATGTACTTTCACTATAATTGTTACTTCACAGGAGATGTGTACTCATGTTATAGATTGAAATGATGCAGATGACTGGACCACAA